GAACACAATTTTGTTCTTACTGCGCGCAGGTTGGTAACTTGCTACCCGCTTCTCGACATGTTGCATCGAACCTTAAGCGAAGCAAATTATTTACTCACCGGTAATCGTCAGCTAATAAGAAACTTTTACGCCATGCTGGGAATCGAACTCGCCTAAACTATTTACCAACTGCACTACTGACCCTCCCCCATCTCTTACAAGAGAATGCAAAGATTAACAGAGAAACAACGTCGAATGATATGGCTCAAATCCATCTGATTTGCCAAGTAGAACTTTGAGCGTGTTATATAGTTGCTAAAGACGATATAGTTTAAGATGATGATCCCAAGAGCATTTCGCATCACCAACATCGAAAACCGGAGGGAACCTGCTCCTCTAGTTTATTCGAGGCAGTGATAACGAGACAAATAAACAAACAAGCACCGGACGAAGCAGTAGGAGGCAAAGATTGTGTTTATAGCCAAATACGAAATCTTTTCGTCGTATCTGTGAACAAAAAATACAAACGGCATGTCTCGATAGACGGAAGGTCAGAAAAGGTGAAACCAGAAAATGAACAGAGAGGAACATCTATCACTGACGACATTGTTTTCTTAACATGAGCCGTGCAGACACAACTTACCAACGATCACGAAGACAACGATGCCCGGAACGATGAAGAAGACGTTGTCAATGCGGTGCTGATAGGGAGTGTCGGCGTCCAGTTCGACCATTCCGCGTGTCTTTACGATGCCTTCTATGTTTTATGTTACAAACGGTAAATCAATGAAGGCCTGGAAAGAAGTGAGGAAGCTAGCCAGTTGCTACATGCGCAGATGCAAAGAAGCAGCGATTACTACAGGTTTACCGGTAAGAGAACAGTCCTCTAAACCTGTGCAACCAAAGAAAGCGACCTGCAAGACACTTCGTTTCCCTCTCCCACCTGGAACAACGACAACTGTCACAGACGTACTTCGTCAAAATAGCACACGTGTGCGTTTCCGCACTGACAGCTGTGCGCGGATCAAAATATTAGCTACCTGAATAACCTGCGACTAATAAGAGTGATTACTGTAACACTAGTGAGGAACATGTGACTTTTAACTTACAATATTATTTCTGTTTACAGTTTTATATTCGTGCTGATTTTAATCAGTCTTCAAATGTTAAGGGCAAATCATAGCCATAAAAGGCACACGCTAGAAAACACAAGTTCTCATTTGTTCTGCTTTAAATGCAACAAAATACTCACCGGTGTTCGCAAGTTAACGACTTTTAGCATGTTCCAAAGGATATTTTAATCAGATGAAGGCTGAAGGAATTCTGTTCAGAAATCTTGCATTAAGGTTAATAAATATTATGCACAAATAGACATTATACCGTTTAAATACACTAGTTCGTATTCAGCAAGTGTGCGTGTGCGATTGCTCGAGATCCGAAGCAAGAGCAGCATCAATCTTGCATTACAAGCTAGAGAGCCGTTAGTGGTATGAATCAAGCATGTCAGAGTTGCCCCCTTTTGGGTACGAAGATTACTTTACTACCGAGGTTGTGGCATTTGTGGAAAGATCATATTTGTTGCCAGCGTATGGAAATGGCTTTGGTCCAAAGGATGAGAGTTCCGAAGGGTAGATATCCCGGATTTCATCCGTTTTTGTATGACTCATTTCTTATACATGAAGCTATCAGGCTTATTCTGGAATCTACACATCGTTCGAACTCCGCATCTCGTTATGAGACGTTCGATTTTTCCACCCACGGGCTCTGAATACCTAATTACCTAGAAATGGCAAACTAAATTTTTCTTATGTGGTGACTTTTTCTTCGTAATAGGTGCTGTATAATTTTTTTTCTTCCGTGCTGAATTCTTGGATACATATCTGACTACTGAATTTTCATTGCAGGTCGCTGTTTTCTTGATAAATGAAAAGCGGCACCAAAAGAACTATACTGGATGAATAAACGTTGTCGAAAACCGTTATGAACTTCGTCTGTTTCGATAATTTTTACGAGGTACTCTTAGTCGAAAACATCACAGATAACATGGGCGGTAAAAAGTCAATGAGAGATCCGCAGAGGCGTTTCCCGATGACCCAAACTCTAATCAATCGGTTTCGGTGATCGCGTATCCTTTCGGATAGTGAAGGCAGACGTGTTGGACGGTGTTTTTAATGTACCCGTTATTGCGCCAGCGTTTGAGGCTCAGCAGAATATATCTAAACCGTGAAACAGTCTCGCGGGACACTTTGCCAAAACCATTCTTGCCCTTGCTTACAGTCTTCGGTCGGTTAGGTGGGCCAGCCGTCGCAGTTTAACCCCCTTCCTACGAGCAGTCGCAAAAATATGTCAGGCCATTGCAGCCGTGACTAGACAATCTGGAGAAGGCAAGGGTTGCGTACATAACATATCACAAGCGTCTCTACTCTGAACCAAATCGATATGTGGTGTCCTGCGATTCATCCCAGAAGGCGCATTTCACCCGCTTGTACCCGGGATCGAAGCATTTCGGCCATGGTCCATAATCCATGACCGTACTTGAGGACTCGGATGAAGATCGACTTGAACATGAAAAAATTAGCCTACAGTCACAAATGTTCGGGCTAGTTCATTATGAACGACATTGACTACTTTATTTTGCTAGTCGATCTGTTCCTCCTATTTTCCATTATTAATAAACCCGACCCCGAGGTACATGAACTTCTCCATCTAGCTTCTTCGTATAACTGAAGAGAGTAACGATCAGGAAAACGAGAAAGCACTAGCTTTTCGTCTTTGACATATTCTCGCGCAAGTCAGCCACATCACATTCGGCTGCGAATCTTTCCAAAGAACGCTGGACATCAATTGTAAAAGATGTCAACAAAGCAAGTTTACAAAAACAAACCTTCTTGTTTCGACATTCCCCACGTTGATACATTTATCACCCTGTTTGCTTTTGACTACTTTATCAATGTGCAACACAACCATGAGAGTGGACGGAACGCAGCCTTAGCGAAGACCGACGAAAACGCTGAAAGTTTTAAACTTAACGTCATTTGCTGTCTTGAAGCACCTAATACTAAGGCTGATTGGCATGTAGAAACTGACC